CAACAGAAATTTATTCTCTTATAGCTCTCGAGGCTAAAAGTCTGAAATAAAGATGTCAGCAGATCCATACTCTCCTTGAAAGTTCAAGAGAAGAATTCACCCTTGACTTTTCCAAATTCTGGTGGTTCCTAGCAATCCTTGGGATTCCTTGGCTAGTGACAGCATGACTTTTATCTCCACCCTCACATGGCCTTCTTCCCTCTGGATCACCTCTGTCTTTACGTGGTGTTCTCACTGTATGTCTGTTTCTGTCTTTTAGGATACCAGTAATTGGATTAGGGACCACTCTAATCCAGTATGGCCTTATTTTAACTTTAGCTACTTACATCTGCAATGACCCTATTTCCAAACCTCACATGAGCTTTCAAGTGGATATGAAGTTTGAGGAGACCCTACTCAATCTGGTGGTGCATCATGTAACTTCTGCTTCAATTCAGAATTTAGACCAAACATTTGCAATTTCATATCTATATAATAAGCCTCAGCCAGAGGATGTAGCCAATTCTCAGGCTCACCTTTCAGTTTTTCATTTATTTGATAGTTTGAGTCTCCTAATAATTCATCTTTTTAACCAATAACATTTTAGATGGACAATGAATTCTATAGCCTCTGGTGATTTGGAACCAAGCCAGAGATTCTGTGGTGGTCTGGCAAAGGATTAACCTTTCCAATATAATGCTTAAAAAAGCAATTAGGAGGTTCTTCTAAGTGGGGTGCCTGGGTGGCTCAGTCAGTTTAGCATCCAACTCTTGATTTTGGCTCAGGTCATGATCCCAGGGTTGTGTGATCTAGCCCCCGTCAGCCCGCTGAGCCCTGGGCTTGGAGCCTACTTGAGATTCTCTCTCTCCTTCTGCCCCTCTCTCTGGCTAGTGCGTGCGCTCTCTCTCTTTCTAAAAATTTTTAAAAATTAAAACAAATAATACTCATAAAGAAAAGAAAGTTATTCTAATTGCCCTCTGATCACAAAGTGCAAGATGGTAAAACATAAGTTTTAACTCAGTAGACGTGCATAACAGTGGTTTCTATGAGTTAACCATAATAGTGTACCATGCATATAGTGTACTACTACATTGGGAGTAGCTGCTGATGAAGTAAACAATGTTAAAGTTTATGTTAAAGTTATTTGAACATTAATAAAATATTTTACTACAATTTAATACTCATAATTTTAACTACATCAATAACTTAAATATGATAATTGAATAGATTTACTTGTATTATTTTGACCTAATATTACCATTAATTGTTAACTGACTTTCAAAATTATGTCAAAAAGTTAATTTCTACTGGAACTTCAAATCAATTACTAATTATTGATATAAAACCAATAATAAGCTAAGGGAAGACAATAATATAATTAAGGGAGAGAAGAAAATTAATATTAGAAAATATTTGTGTCACATTCATGAAATAATTAAAAATGGTGAGGAAATTCTGTTCAAAATAAAAAAATTATAATTTTTATAGTTAGCCAAATTATTTAAATATTATGAAGTAGAAAAAGTAGATACTAAAATTAAGTCTTGCTCTAATTAATTAAGATTATTTGTGTCTTATGTAGTGGCAACTTAAGTTTGGTGCTAAAATCTTCTTTATAATAAATGTTTCAATCTATGTGTAAAAGTTGTGTGTATATATTACTATTTAATGGAGAGACTGTCAAATCTTGAAAATAAGTGTATTCCATTATATGGTCTAAAGTAAACTTTCAATATTATTTCTCTCTCATTCTCAATGAAATTGACATTCCAAATATGGCAATTTATACCATATTACCTGCTATTATGTCTTTGTTTATATGCTTTCCTCTAGTTGTAATACTATATCTTTCCATTTCCCATTTTCTAGTTTACATTCCTAGCTATAGTCTAGGCCCATTTGAGAAACCTGCTTGACAAGTCATTTTCTAAGCACTGCATGTTTTATAGGTGTCTCATGTGTGGTATGCTTTTTGATGCACATCCATTTTGTTCTCCTTACTACAGTTATCCGGGACCATATGTTATGTGTTCAGTAAATCCATATAGAATGAATTATTGAATAAGTTTAAAGTAAAGTTATTGCACAAAAGGTAAATAGGCCAAAGAATTTTGATGCCTTTCATTACTTGATCTTCTCTGACAAGGAGTTAGCTAAGGTGCACAAGCAATGTATGGAAACTAGTGTGAATTTATATTCTTTTCTTCTTCAGTGAATAGAACATAATGAAATCAAAACAATTACCAGAAGCTAGAATAAGCAAAAACAAAAACAAAAACAAAAAAACAAAAAACAAAATACCAGGAAACTATTAGGCAGTGTATCATGAAAAGGGGACTTGATGGAGAAAACAAAAAAGAGCAAAGAGAACTTCAGAACTCTAAAATATGTAAAGGAAAAATAATAAACAACATACTATACAGTGTGACAGATCCAATAATATCTGCTACTAGCTCTTAATGTCCAGTTTATTTATTGCAGTTTTTTCAAACCTGGCTTGTTCCCAAAAATGTAGTATGCCTTGCAAAGACATAAAATTATAAAAATATACTCTAAATCAGATTTAGGAATAAAAGAAAAAAATTCTGCTGTAGTGATGTTAAATGACACCTATTGGAGCATCTGAAAAAGAAATCAAACTATAAAAGGCTATAGCCTTCCTATGAGATAGATTTCAATGTAACTCTAAGTATTCTAAAGGCAAAATAAAAAGAGAAATCTGATCAATTTCATAATTTACAACATCCATAGTAAAAGCAAACCAATTTACTCAGGAGAAGTGCAATTATTCCTGCTACTAAAACCTGTAGGAAATTTCTCCCAAGGGTCATCATAAAGAGACACTGTAAAATATAACAAAATATGCCTTAAACAATGTCTTTGATAGACACCACTAAGAGTTTCATAGAACTGCTTTTTTATGGCAGCCTTTACTGTATACTGCTGGTTTAGCTATACAATTCTGTGTGTAGTTTAATAGAGGCATAGATTTTTCAGTAACTCGAAAAATAGATGGACAAAAACATCTTTCAAAGATTTCAAAGACATCTTGATCTCACTTTTTATCAAGTTCTTTAGAGAAACTTGGTGGCAGTATTTCTCAGAACACTCTATTGGTTACTTCAGTAAATAGTTATTGGACATCAATAATTTACATAGTACTACATTAAGCACAGAGGAAACACCGGGGACAAAAATTTGCAGGAAATCAGCTATTCTGTGATATCAATTAAATGTATATAAATATGAAAAATGACCTGAATGAAAGTAAAAGTTGACATGCTTTTGTGACAGCTGAAGGCATTTCAAGCCTTGGATTCAGTTCCAAGGATATACTCTTAATATAGGTTAGGTCTGACTTAGAAAATGTGTTTGGATTTGCTCTGACATACACGGTAATGGGCACTTGCTGAATCTCCTACTCAGCTTTAGGATAATCATAATGCCTTTTGGGGAAGAGATCTAGTCCCATCTCTTTTATATTTTTTTCTATAATAGGCATGTATTGAGATTTCTACCAAAACTGTGATTTGAGAATCCTTACTTATATCTTTGTTGGAGTTGAGATACGGAGGAAGGTGGAACAGAAGAGGCAACCAGTCAGATCTGTCTTCCCTAACCATACATCAGCCCCTGAAGCCTGTCTGCTAAAATATAAAGTTTTTGACAAGTCGTTTTAAAAATGTGTTTGAAAAAACTGCGCTCTTCTGTACTAATTCCAAGATTTTATTCTTCTCTACAAAGATCATCAACACAGCAATTCAATAAATATATACTATTCACCTGCTATGTTCCAGGATCTAGATATACAAGGTTAATTGTCAAGGTGTTTGTCTCAAGGAGCTTCCAGTTTGTGATGAGACCCCCTAAGTACACTGAAAATTAGGCCACAGTTTGGTAACTGCTGTCTCAGATATAAATACCACGCACTGCAGAGGCATGATGGATGGGGCAACCAGATCAAATGCAAGCAGACAGAGGGCTCGAGAAGCCCATATATAGCAAGTAGATTTGGAATTGAGTCTTGAAAATGACAGAAATTAGGAAAACAACATGGATGAAAAGTCATTTTAAAGCGATAGAGGGAGAGAGAGAGGACATGTCAATCAGGATGTAAATTGAAAGAAGAGTAAGTAATTTTTGTGACTGGAACACAAATAAGGTGAAGCCGTGTAGGCTTAGAACAGAAGGAGGTCAGACCAGAAAAAACTAGTGTGGTTAACCAAGAGATTTGAACCAAAAAACAAAAGTAGACCGAAGCAAACCAAGCAAAACTTCAGAGTAATGGCATACATTTTATGTTTTAGACAGATTCTATCATTATTACAGGGGCTGCAGTAAAGAAGCTAAGAATAGAGTCAGGCAGAGTAATTAGAAGGTTATGGCAGCAATCTGGAAGAAAATAAATGGGGATCTAAATTAAGCCAGAGAAATTGTGATGAGAGGAGGGAGGCATGAGAGATAATAAAAGGGTGGAACATACGTGCTTTTGTGACTTCTCTGGCCTATTTGTGCTATATTTGTTTTTTTGTTTTTTGGGAGTCTTTTTGTTTGTTTTGGGTTTTTTTTTTTTTTTTTTGCTTCTAAATAAACAATGATGCATCTTATAGTGTCATTTACTCTCTATGTAGTTTCATTCTCACTTTCTGATTCATGTATAGGTAGTCAAGCTTTAAAAAATCTGAAATGCTATTCTCTTCGTATTCACCAAATCTTACATAGCAGGTCCACTTGAAACTTGAACATTTAATCACTTAGTACATTCTGCCTGCATAACAAAGCTCAACATTATAATCCTCCAGTTATTACAAGATCTGTGCTGTCTCTGATACATTTACACTTCAATTACAATTACAATGCTTTCATTTTAACAGCTTCTAGTTTCTGAAGGATTAAGTCTCAAGGATTATGTTATAATGAGAACAAAGGTTATTGACGACTTTTCTCATTTCTTTCTGAGATGCTTTGCTAGCTAAATCAAAGTGAAGCCAAATTTATGCCAAGATGTTTTCTCCCTGCAGGAAAACATAATGGAAGTTATGAGAAATCAAGAGTTTTTACTGCTTCCAGCTGAGGAGCTCCATAAACTCCTGGCCAGCGATGATGTAAATGTCCCTGATGAAGAAACCATCTTCCATGCATTAATGATGTGGGTCAAGTATGACATGCAGAGGAGATGCAACGACTTGAGTATGCTTCTTGCCTTTATAAGACTGCCACTGCTTCCGCCACAGGTAATTGCATGTGATGCTGATTAATGGCTACTATGTGTTGAAAAATCCTACGTTAAAAGTAACATCAAAATATAAATAAAAGGATAATAACAACTTAAAATAGAAAATAATACCCATAAAGCATTTGGTAACATAGTCATGTTCAATTAATATGTATATAGTAAATGCGTGTGCGCGCGCGCACACACACACACACACACACACTTGAAGGCAGAAAGTCCAACCATTTCCCAAACTAAGTTTTATGCCCCTCCATTACCATTTTCTTACAACTTTTCAATTATTAAAGAAAAAGGAGCATCACACCCCGTTCATTATTATTCCTCACAATTTTGTTTTTACTTTTAATCAAATACTCTTTTCAGGAAAATTTGGTGATGGAAAATGATGATGATAGGTCTGAATTCCATCTCTGCCACATATTGACTCATGTTCATATAACTATGAGAATGTCACTTAATGTCTCTGATATTCAATTCCTTTATATATAGAATAAAATTGTGCTATCACACAAAAATTTTGAGAGGATCAAATTAGATAAATAGTATCTAGAAGATGTTTAAAACTTTGCAATTAATTCCCTGGTTCCCTATTTTGACAATCTAGCCATCTGCCTATCTTCTATATAATTTATTTATCTAGCCTAAGGTGTAATAATATGATCATTTTCTGATGAAAATACATCCTTGAAGTATATTTTAAGGCTCAATGCATGAGATATCAAACCTCTATAGATGGATAAGACATATACTGACGGGGTACATACTTATGAAACAACAGCCTTTGGCAGTTGGGATTGTGAAATCTTTAATAATTGGAGCTAAGGAGAATCCATACACCAAGTGAACCAACCACCTCCTTTGATTGATGAGTTATGTAAGACACAGGTGAATTGCTAAGAACAAGTTTATTCAGTTCGTAAGAAGAAGAGTATTTTTCTCTGATTTGGAGTCTTGTGCTTTAAACTAATTTGTAATGTTGCAAAATTATCTATGTGCAGCAATGTTAACATGGGGTTTCTGTCTTCTCAGGCTATCCAAAATAAGCTTGAAGGTAGCTCTTACCTCCGCAATGTTAGATAAAATTGTGTTGTGTATACATTTTTTTTTCTGGTAGCTGTGGGGGGCCTGTAACATTCACCTGATCCTTCTTTTGGATCCATACAACCCTCAACACTTTCACTAATACATATATTACTAAGAATGTAATACAGGGAATTAGGGCACTGGGAAAGAATGACAGGCCAAATATAACATGCTAATACGTGAAGTGAGAGGTATGGTCGTATATTAAGTTTGGAAAGTTAAAAAAAAAAACACTGTGTCAAAATTGGGATAACAAATCAAACTTAATACAGTAATAATTGTTTTTCATCTGGCTGCTGAAATGAATAAAGTAATAAAAACAGAGAAAAAGAATTTATGGAAATCCTGCCTAAGCAAATTATATAAGATTATCCTAATACCAGGATTTTAAAAGGGAGACAAATGCATTTAGGTAACTAAACAAAGAATAAACTATGAAGCCAAGCACTGGATTTGTCTGCATCTTCCATCCTAGGTTCTGACGCAAGATATTCTTTGAAGCTTGGGGATCTTCTCTCAGGATAGAAATGGCCAATGATCACTATTAGCCAAAAATATCATACTCATCTGTCATCAAAAATGGGAGACGCTTTTACCTATACATGCCTATACTATTCCATCAGAATAGACATGTAATTCTTATTGGTTCAGCTGATTCATCTTAATAAGTTAAACTGTTTATTAACATTAGAAATTAAGATATATATTTTTGGTGTAACTCAATAGTAAAAGACTTTTAAGTATACTCTTATTACAGTGTCTAATAGGTATAAATATAGCATATATCTATTCTCTATTCCTCATTTCTCAAACTAGGGCCATTCCAAACTAACTTTATATATAATTTCAAGATAGATGTGCAAGAAGAAAGAGTAAAACACATTTTCTTTTCATAAAATGTTTCTGGATATAGGAGGAGCTATCACTTCTTAACTAACAGAATTACATGTCATGATAAGCACTTTCCATATATTTCTAACCTTCAATACACAACTGCAAGGTAGATGTTATTAATTATATTGTACAGAGGGAAAACAGGTTGAAAGAGGTTAAGTGACCTTGTCAAAGGCCATAGAGCTAGTGAGAAATCCAGACTTCTTGCAAACCTGAGCTGTGATGTAGTTCTACTGAGTGTACGTTGCTTCTTTGTTTGCTTTCAAAAATGGAATACCATAAAAAATCGCCTGAATACAGCAGTTTTGAATATTCCTACAAAAAGACTGGTGAAGGAAGAAGAGCAGGGGAATAGGAAATAACATGCTTTTATTTCTTTCTTTAGTTACCAAAAATAATACAGTTCATCTCATTTAATTTCTTCATTATCCCGTGTAGTAAATATTATTATTACCATTTGACAAATGAAGAAATTGAGAACGGGAATGATAGCTGTCTTCCTATGGAGTTGTAGATTGTGCTCTGGATGTATCTGATTATTCCACTGAGGAGAAATGAGTGTAGTATTTTTCTGTTGGCTTCATATTTAACTCAATCTCCGACAGAGGTTAAAAAAAAAGAGTTTAATCAAATCTAGGATTTTCTAGCCTTTTACATGAACTTTCAAAGAAACTAAGCATCTTAGGGTCTTTAAGAAAAGCCATTATGATGATCAGGAAACATTTTTTCTTGATCCTGGAGCCATTAAATATATGTTTACACCTATTATGTATTGCTTATACGCCAACACTCTCCTCTCTTCCCTCTTCCCTCTCTCTCAATATATATGTTTATTATATATATATATATATATATGTGTGTGTGTGTGTGTGTGTGTATATATATGTAGGTTTATTATATACATAATTTACATATGTATTAAAGATTAAATATATGTGCTTATTATATACATAAATCTTTATTTAATCTTTAATAGTTATATAAAATACAATATTACATTTTAAAGTACTAGCAATATTTAAAAGAAGGAAAATCTCCATTTTTCTAGTGAGGTAAGAATTTATTTTCAAAGGGAAAGAGTAAATGGGCTAATTTTTTAAGGAGACCTGAGAGAAGAATTTGTACCATAATTCCTATGATGTAAATGACAGGTTTCAGGTAAGTGAGAGAACGATGCTCGGAAGACCTGTTGGGAGCTACATATAATATTGTGAAGCAAAACACAAGTACTGACCAAGGCAAGAGTAGAACACCAAGATTTAGAGATGTCTAAACAAAAAGAAATAAATATAGAAAAAAATATATGCTTCTGGGATAAAGCTAAACTAAATAACTGGGAGTATTTTTACAGCCTTGACTTTCTAGTTTCTATTTAGTAAGTGCATGGAAAAATTTCTAGAGCTTAAACAAAAAGTAAAAATAAAGACATTGAGACTTCATCAACAAAGAAAACATGTTAAAAGATTGACCGCTGTCAAAGAATAAATCTAGATTATTACTACACTAATAGTCTTCTCTTATGCTTGTGAGCCAATTGACCAACCTGCCTTAGGTGGATTTCAATTTAATTATTTATCACAATCTGCATTCTCTTAGATATTTTTTCCATCATGTGTATCTGTGTTTAGTTACTTCTTAAGTTCATAAGAGAAAATATGTTCTGATATTCTCTTTTATTTATAAATTAATGTATGTTATTATAAAGTATAAATTATGTTAATTTGGTGTACAAATATATAATAAAGATATAAATTTTGGTAGACAGTATGGATTTTAGTTAAGCACAGTGGTAGACACCATGAGCTTCAGGAGAGAATAAAAGAAGAGACATAAAAAGACTCAGAAGTGAAATGTCTATTTTATCTTGTATTGAAATATAATAGTTATTGCTGAAATAAATTCAGTTGGCTTTGCTATAGAAAGGAACTGAGGAAAAGGCAAAATGAAAGAAATACATAATTGAGTTATAGTCTAATAGTGAGTGACTTCCATTATCTTTTAACATTATATTTTAAATAAGGGAGAAGTAGAATTTTCCATAAGAGTTTCTATATTTTTCTGGACTGCCCAGAGGTTTAAAAATTTCAACAGAATTGGAAAAAGTATGGAAATTTCACTTTAGAGAGTGAATGTGTATGTGTGTGTTGTGCGTGTATGCATCGATTTACTTTTTTTCTATATTTTCTTTTATAAAGATGCAACAAAAGAATATGTTCCTATGCAGTAACATGTTTTAACACTATGAAACTATTGTTTCCACTCGTTTTAACTGATTTCATAAGATATAAACTTGTAATACGTACATAAATATTTGTTTCTTATATACCTGTTTTAAAAGTACAAAAACTATCCAATTTTTGGTGTGTTCCTTTCTAATGATTGGTTTGGAAATTTAAATCATGTTATTCCAAAAATGAAAGGATTGCAATTCTATATATACTCAAGTCAAAATATCTTCCAAAAAACTCAGTTTTTTCACAGTCAGAGATTATTTAGAAGGTTAGACATATACAAATAAACTATGTTTCCTATTTGGAATTGGTATTGTTTCTCTTTTGAGATGACAAGGATAAAGATTTCTTATAACTTACTGACCAGACACCTACTGACTTTTAAAAGAAATATGTAGCTGTGTGTGTGTGTGTGTGTGTTTATGTACATAAACACTTTCGGTAGCAAAATGTGAAAGAAAAAAAAAAACATGAAATGGAATAACAAATGATTGCCTAAGCTTAGAAGAAAATGGCTTATTTTAATAATAAAAAATAACAAAATAACAAGGAAACCAAAAGTGTATCTTAAGGAAACAGATACTACTTCTATTTTATAAGAATACATATTTCTATGCAAAGCCGTAATTAATTTATTCCAAAAGATTCTTTATGTAATAATAGCAATATGAGAAGGGAGAGGTCATCAACATTTTTTACTCCATTGGAAATGTGACAGTTGATCAGATACCAGTGATATAGATTCTGCTGTCTATAAAAATTATAGCCACCACTAAAAATCCAAATGAAA